TTAATTAATCCGTAGCACGTTCATATTTATTTAACTTTATTTAGTAGAGATTAATGACAATTATCCCAGACTGGGCGGAATCGCCCAAACCGAGCGGAATCTCCCAAGTACGTATATATTGTTGACACAAATTGATAAAATTTTTAAAATTGAAAAAATCAAAATCATGCAATTAACTACCAGGGATTTTGCTATATCGGGTTCGTGTGACTAAACATGTTCTAGCCAATAAGCCTTATGAAACTTTAAAAAAAAATGTACAAAAATTATTTAAGAAATGTCACAATCACTATTACAGTTACCTTTTTTTAATGAGTGTTATATATTTTTTTGTCATGATTAATGAATATATATATATATATACATATAATAATATAGAATAACAATTTTAAAATCAGTAGACCAATATCACTAGTTGCTAGAAAAAAAAAATGAATATGTCTCAATACTTTGATATAATACATCATTATAGATAAGATATGTCTTGCAGATCTAGAAATAACAGTAAAACTCAAGGTAAATTTACCACGAATCCTACACAGTATATGCAATTTAAGAATAGGGATAAGTGCACACATATAATTGATGAAGATCACATAACTATCATAAATAGGAATACAGAAGCCATGAAGGCAATTTTTGATTATGTAGAATTATGCAGATATTTAGAGGTAAATAATTTTGATTTGGAAATTCTCAATATTAATATGTGAAATAATTGGTTTATTTTTTCATATGCATATATCATTAGTTTTTTTTGAAACAAGAAATAAGAAAAGTATTCTTTATTTGATCTGTATGTTAAAAAATAAAATATAAAAAACCTTTTTTAGAAAGTGTATTAGTAATGTGATGGTGACTCACCTTTCAGGCTCATGGCATAAAAAACACATTACCAACTCCAGCTAAAAATTTGTACAAATTGAGTATGGATTTCTTCCAATTCTTTCATCAGATCATCTAGCCATGCAGTACTTAAACCACTCTTTAGTATACTGTGATGTAATAACTCTTCTCGATTAGCCTATCCTGATCTGTTAAAAATTTACGATATTTTCTAGTATCTTCCTGCCTTTCTCAGCCTCAGTAATAACTGAAAAATTCTTGGGATCCATTCCATGTTCAATGGCATATTGACGTAAGCCAGCCTCTGGCTGATAAAGGTGGGTTTTGTTTGGTACACTTACTTGAATTTCCAGTAAGCTCTGTATAGCGATTATAACTTTATTTTGATCAATATGAAAAGGGCAATTAAGAAAATAGTGATCATTTTTACTGAGACAGCTCCAATTGCCCCATATACCTCTACATGTATGTACCTCTTTACATATCAGGCATTTAGCTTCTGAATCAGTATATTTAAATACATCCCAGTGCCATGCATTTGAATAGTATATGATAAGAAAGGAAAACGTTTATGTACTGCTTCATGGATTGTGCTTTTTTCTTCTGGAAACTTAGAAATTTTGATAACACAATCTTGCGAAAAGTAATTATCAGTCTTTTGTGGGGGTTCAGGAGTTTCAGACATTATCCAGGGATCAAGCCCAGTTTCTCTAATACTCTTTTGAAAACTCTTTCCTCTTGATAAATTTCATAGGTAATCCTTTCTTTGTCTAAATATGTTTGCAAAGATTTGGTATCTGCTAATTTAAAAATATAAGGAGCAATTTTTTCACTTTGTTCTTTCTTCAGAATACTTCTAATAGTGCTATAATTCCTGGGTTCCATAGTAGATCTGATGTAAATGAGTTTCATATTAACTATTTTTATATAGGAGTAGTTCTATACATCACTTAAGATAACAAATGGGATATTATAAAACTGTTAATAATTATAATCACATTATGAAATGACTAAATTTTGATCCCTGAAATTCTTGGTAATACCAATATTCACTTTGTCTGGTTTTGTTGCAGCATACCCCATATTATTTATAAAAATTATAAATTTTGTTTTTGTAAAAGATTTTCAAGCCAATAAAATTTGATTTTTGTGTGATTTTTTGGAGGATGATCATCGTAAAATTTAGCCAATGAAATCAAAGTCACAATGTGATAAACGAATATCCATTATGCTTTTGTTTCAATAAATCTTCAGAAAATTTTCGTTTTGGCCCTTTTTTTATTGATTAAATATTTTTTTGCACAAGTACTAACAAATCCAAATTACTAAATTTAAAAATAACTAATTTAAAATCGACACACCACATTTCCATATTAATATTTCTAAAACCAAATTTCTAATTATAAAATGTCTCAGACAACTATTATAAAAAATAATGAGTTAGCTTAATTTTTTTTATTTTTACATGTAATTCTTATTAATAAATTAAACCATTTGTTTCAACAAATTTTTGTGCTGGTACTGGGGTGCCTTATTTGGAAATCTTCAAAAAATATCGGATCAAAAAATTTTCTTAAATAATAATAAGTAAGTTTCTATTCAAATAAGGTTTATTCAAATCATTCGTTTTATCTGCTGTTATTATTATTATTATGAATGAGTATTGAAAGTTTATTCGAATAAAATGGTTCAAATAAAATAATATATTAACATTGCTAATCCATCCAATTAAAATGTTTTTCCTTCATAGTCCTTCTATATCGTTATAATAATAATAAATAATGATAGTGAAGTAATTGAGCATTTTCTTTTCTTTTCTTAAGTCATAGTACTAGTAGTAGTAACATAAATATAATTATTAATTTATATAATTTTACAATCCCTTAACAAATAATTTGAATAAAAATAAAATGAATAATTCAAACAAAACATATAATTCGAATAAACGAATAATTTGAATATAATGATTCAAAATAAGAAAAGATGTCAATCTCTTTGTCAGCCAATAATTTGAACGTGACATTCACAATGTTATTAAAATGATGATCATATCACATTTTTATTTATGTGACACTTTAGAGAGAAAATAAATACGTAAATACTTTTGACTTTGCTACGCAATACTACTACACAAAAAATTAATTTCTTAATGTCGTTCTTCCAACAACAACAACAGCCACAACAACAGTCATCGTTTTTCCAACAACAGCCACAGCAACAACAGACATCTTTCTTCCAACCACAACAACAACAACAGCCACAACAGACGACATCTTTCTTCCAACAACAACAGTCACAACAACAACAACCACCACAACAGACATCTTTCTTCCCACAACAACAACAACCACAACAGCAGACATCTTTTTTCCAACAACAACCACAGCAACAACAGACATCTTTCTTCCAACAGCAACAGCCACAACAACAACAATCATTATTCCAACAATCGCAACAACAAACACAGCAGCAGCAACCGCAACAACAACAGTCATTGACCGCATATGATGAATTATCTAGATTGATAGATGCCTGGAATTACAATAAGCCGGAATGCAAATTTCAAGTAATAATAATATCAATATCAATCTCTAATTACATTAACTAATTATATATGTATTAAAGACGATTATTATTATTAATGATAGGGATATTTATATAATATGGTTCAACCAAATACTGCCGAATACTATAAACCACCAGACCGAATGTCACAACAACTTTGGTTAGAAGCACAAAAGAATAATCCAGATAGAAAAACGTAAGATTATTAATTAGGATAGGCAAAAACTCCGAGATAAAAAAGATAAAATTAATCAATCCTTTAATTATTGATTTTCATGATTATGATTATAGTCTTGTTCCTGCTTTGGTGGTTGGGTTTGATGACATCAAGAAAAGAATAAGTATACAAGAAGATATAGCAGGAAAAGCCATAAATAAATTTAAGGTTTTAATCTCATTCATCTATCCACTCATTCGTTCGTCCATTCATTCGTTCATTCATTCATCAATACGATAAAAGATTCAATTTACTAATTATTATTTTATTCTATTGGTTGAAAACATAGGAACTTGAATCAGAATTAGCAACATTGGAACGAATTCATAAACATGATAATTTAACAAAAATTCAAGATCGTAAACTAAAACATTTAGAATTAACCCAGCGCCTTATAAAGGTTCTTTATACTATTGATCAAATCTCTTGTTTTAAAAAAACATATCACTAAAACGTAAATATATATTAATAATTTAGTTGATGAACTGCATTCAAATTTTAAGAAATAAAGGTAATATGATTACAGCCAATGAAGAATTATTAAGAAATCGCTTAGAAACGATAAAAGAACACTATACTAGATTATCCAACCAACTTGACATAATCAAGGCAAATAATTCATTAAGAAAACCATTATGGAATACAAATGAACCAACATTAGTTCATAAATTTAATACTGTGGATGAAAATCAAATGGAAAGCATAATTAAGGTAAAAGAGAAGAGAAAATATATTGTGTGTGTGTGTGTTTATTGTGTATGTATTTAACTCTGAGATTATTTTTTATTTTATTTTGGTTAGGTGTTGGATTCTGAACAACAAGGTATAGATCATACCATTAATGTATTGAAAAAAGATTCTAGAGATACTGAGTATATTATAACAGAAATGAATAACAAAAGTGTCAAAAAGCAATAATTCTAATTAACATAGAAAGAAATTAAAACTTATATTATATTACATACAATCTCTTTACAATAATAGAAATTATTATTATTATATAAATAAATAAATTTGTATAGTTTTTTTTCCTTTGATTCAAAAAAGTTGAGAATGATATACATTAGAAAGAATGAAGAAAATTATACATACATGTATATATGGTTTTTTTTTTTGAAAAAAAAAAATTTTTTTTGTGCAAGTAAATTTATTATAATTATTAAAATTCTCAAAGTTTGTTTTGTTAAAAAATTTAAAAAATCATAGTTTCAAATCAATAATAAATTAATAAATTTCTTGGTGTATGTAAATTGTATCTAACAGAGTCTTTATCTGATGTAAAAATAATAAAAAAATATATATGTGAACATGAGATATTCTTAAATTATTGAAGCAAAGTGCGATATAGTCTGCAACTATTTTGAAAAATGTCAGATTACTAATTCTGTATAATTTATATATATTATTTATTTATAATGTTAAAAACTCTAGTCTTAGATGATAATTTAAATATTTAATGATTAAAATTCTTTGTCTTTTGAAAAAAATAATATATTTGAAAGTCTAAGCAAGCAATGAAGGTATTGCTTCGCCAACTTCTTCATTAGAAGGTACTCCTACACCTCGACAAATTGGACATTTATTAGAACCTTCAGTAAGCCACTAGAAAAGGGGAGAAATGAAAACTTGGTAAGTGTCTATTCTAATAATAATAAACAACTAAAATTGAAAGATCTGCTATACTGACCTTATCGATACAATCTTTGTGAAACCCGTGATTACAATTCAATACTCTTAATTCTTCATCTGTGACATAATCACACAGGCACACTTGACACTTCTCGGAATTGCCTAAAAGGACTCGATCTTTAACACCACTAATATTTTCATCATATAACACAATTGGGAAAGTTGCCTCAATTTCACTTTGTGTTGTAGTTGGTGGCCTTGCAGGTCCTAAAAGAGTAGTAAGTGTTAACATATCTTCGTAAGTTGGATTGTCAGAGAATAATGACGCTGTTGAGAAAATAGGATGATTCGGCGGATATGTACCACCTATTACATATATAATCCATGATCGTGATGGTGGAGTTTGTGTTCCGGTTGATGATGTTGATCTAGATGAATTTCTACCTGACGTTGTTGCTGATGATCTTTCTCTTGAATTATTGTTGCTGTCATCACGCCTAGGATCTGCTTGTTCATAAACTATGCTTTCTTGCACAATACTGTAATTTCCATTTTGTTCTTCCAATCTAGGAGGAACACTTCTAATTCCAATGATAATAACTGGGACCATATTTTGTCTATTATTTATGTTGTTGCTATTGTTATTGTTGTTAGAGCTTCCTCCTCCTTCTTGTTGATGATGCGATGATGACGGCAACGATGACGATGATGGCGTAGTTGTTGTATTCGTTGATATTGATGATTGATTTTGTCCGTTTTGTGATGATGAATTAGGAACTGTTTCGTTTGTTTGGTTATTTTGATTTGCATGACGGGGACCACCAAATCGGAACATACGAAAGAATGGAGTCGATTGTGAATTATTATTATTATTATTATTATTATTATTATTATTATTATTATTATTATTATTATTATTATTATTACTATTATTATTATTATTATTATTATTATTACTGCTGCTATTATTAATGCTATTACTGCTATTATTATTATTATTATTTATGATTGTACTTGTATCAGGAATAAACTCTTCTGAATTGAGTAATGATGATGGTATTGATGTCGTAACACCATCAGCAACAGTAGCAGTGGTGCTGTTTGGTGTTGTTTGTGATCTACTTGAAGCCTCTCTATGTCTCAATTGAAGTGTTTCCAAAAATCTTTCAAACCCTACATCAGATTCATCGCCAGGAGATCTTTCTGATTCCGTTGCTATTGCATTTTCTTGACTAGCTGCAAATGAAGCAGCAGTTGCAGAAGCTGCAAATGATAACAAACGTCCAATGAATTGGCTTTCAGTATCAGAATCATCGTCAAGATTATTATTGCCATTGTTGTTGTTGTTGTTGTTGTTAAGATGACGATAGAAATTATTATTATTAATAATGTAATTATCATCATCATCATCAAAATCAAGATAATTGCTTGCACTCATACGGGCAGCCCTATATCTTGAACGTTGAGAAGATGATGTGTTTGTAGACGCATCTATTATTCGAGAACTGGTAGATGAATCAAGCGTATTTGACAAGGGTACAGCAGATAGGAAAGATCCCCCGGTTGATATTCTTGAACGAGATTCGGTAGATCGAGAAGAATGACGGGAACGTGAATTTGCATAGCTATAAGAACCATAAGTAGACCGAATATTTCTTATTAGCGTATCTTCTGAATCATCACCATGATTATTATGATTATTATCGGTAGGTGAAATAGTTTCAAATGATTCAGAATAAGGATAATATTCCATGTCATCAGTTCCATTATAAAAAAGACTATTGTTGATGTTATCACTTGTAGGAACATTATTTGCACTATTTGCAGAAGATCTTGAACTTCTTCGTCTTATAGTGTATGGGCTCCTACCATCAATTTGTCTGGATGACGATGATGATGATTCGTCACGAATTCTTTGTATACGATTTGAAGGTCTATTTAGTTGAGGTTGTGATTGATTTGTTGTTGTTGTTGTTGAATTGGATGATGATGAAAATGGATGCGATGTTGCAATTTCTAGTCGTCTTATTCTAGCGGGAGTCATACGAAAGATCCTTGGTGCATCGGTTTGAGTAAATTCAGTTGAAGAAGCTTGACTAAGAGAATCTTGAGAATCGGAACGAGAAGGACGACCACGTCTTCTTCTATATGTTGTAGAATTTGTACCAATACCGGTACCACCATTACCACTACTGGTACCATCACCATTGATATTATTTGAGCTGCTGATAGCATTGCTAGCATAATTAATACCAATGTTATTTAAACTATTTCTATTTCTGTTATTATTGTTGTTGTTATTATTATTTGGAGGAATAGTATTTCCAAATCTATGAGTGATAAGTCTTCGTCTTGCTGTATCAGGATCTTGAAACATGATAGAGTCACCGTCTGAATCCTGATCGTTTGGGTTATTATGACTTTGTTGTTGTCCCATATTTATAAATCAATCTTATAATTGCTTTTAAAAATTTTATAATTAATAATAATAATAAATAATATAAAGAGTTGAATGAACAGCTGTTATGCAAAAGTGGTAGAAAATTGATTTAATAACATAATGATATTAGTAATATCAACAAATATTGGTAAATATTATTTTAGTTAATACTTACTGTTTTGTTTTGATTTATATTAGGTGTATGATTTATTGAGACACCCAAAATAAAAAGCAGATCCTAGTTAAAAATAAAGTTGCTTGAGGAATTTAATTTAATTTTTTTTCAGAGTAAAAAAACTTATTTTTATTTTTGAAAAATTATATTTATTTATTTATTATAATATATATCTAATAAAAATTGCTTGTTTTTATTATTATGTGTAAATAATAATTGTGATAAATAATATTGTTAAGCAATAAATAATAATATAATAATATAAATAACATAAATAATATAAAGAATGTTATGCTACCCAAAAAAAAACCCTTTTTTATCTTTAAGACAAGAAAAAAAATATGGTGCACAAAAGAAAGGTAAACACTCACTCATTCACTAATACTAACTTACAATCATCGTAAATTGGTGGTGATCTATATTTTATAAACGTAACACGAAATATTAAAGTTCAGATCAATGTATTCAATGTATTTAGATTGACCGACCGACTTGTTCACATGACGAGAAGTAAAAAATTATATACATTTTCTTGGAAAAGAATTTATTTATTATTTTTTTCTTTACTTCATTCAATTATATAAAATACAATCGAGATGGATACAGAATGGAAAGATTTGACCTTAATTAATTTGATAGACTGGTTGACCAATATCAAGCTGTTCCAAATCAGATCAAATGCCATCTTTCACGATATAATTAATTGCTTGTTATTCCAGGATGGGCTTTCAACAACAAAAGTATGTAATATATATATATATATTGAAAATAATTGATTCTAATGATTGCCTGTCGCGTCGATACTATAATAATAATATTATTAAACCTGTTTTGTCAATATTTGCCGCCACATAATAATGACATAAAATTTTAGAGAGTATGATGACACAAATCTGTTCTTATGATCAGAAAAAAATATTGGTCAAACCTTACCATTCATTGTCATATAGTCCATACTGATATGTTGTACTGTATCTTAAATCTCTGATAATTTACTTTTAATTTTTTTTTTTAATGTCTTTATAAACTTTGGAATTCTATCAAAATCTCTTGCATTTATCACAAGTGTTAGGCTAGCGAATTTGATTCAAATAAAAATTAGACCAAGACGAAGTCTACTAATTTTTGTTAATCTGAATTATATAGAAAGAAAAGATTAATTGATTATTATTATGTCTTGTTGGAACTAATAGCAAAATATTTTCACTTTTTTGGTTTTTTTTTAGTTAAAACATCCAACTTTAACAATTCTTAAACGATCTCGTAAATTAAATGGTTATCAACTTTTCCCCAAGTAAATAAATAAAAGTGAACTGTACCCGTCTATTTAACATTATTCACAAACTATTTACCCAATCAATTTCATGTTACACTGGTTTTCAATTAATTCAAAAAAATTTTAGAGAAAAATTTTTTTTTGAATCGATAAATAGTGGGTAATAAAAAAACAAAATATAATTTACGAATTCAATCAAAAAAATAATAATAATTAATTTATTTTGCAGTTTAAAAATATATTTTTTTTGATATTAATTGAATGCAATATAAAAGTGAGATGGATGAATTTATACCACCAGAAAATCCATATGGACCACCAGTTCCACCATGTTCTGAAATGTCTTCACAACAACAACGATATCGAAGTGGAAGTATTAGTAGTGGTAGTAATCGAACTCGACCACAAAGACAATGGTCTTCAAATAGTGGTGGTAGCGGTAGCGGTAGTGGTAGTGGTAGTGGTATAGGCAATCACAGCGTAAGTAGTGGCGGTAGTGGTGGTGGATACAGTAATTTAAATGGTGGTGGTGGTAATAATAGTAACAATAGTGGAAGAGAAAGAAGAAATAGTTTTATTGATAGGAGAGGAATAGATAAGAATAGAGATAGTTGGGTTAATCATAATAGACATTACAATAATAGTAACAACAGTAATAATAATAATGATAGAAGATCATCATATCGTGATGTTCCACCGTATCGTAAAGGACCATATCGTGAAGATTCGTATAGAGACCGAGGCAGAGATAGTTGGAATTCAAGACAGTACAATAATGAAAGATCACGACCAACTCATCGTGATACATATGTACCAAGGCATCAAAATCAAAATCATTACAATAATAATAATAATAGTAATCATCATCATCATCACCACAACAGTAACAACAATAATAATTACAATACTGTTTCTACTGCTGCCATCCCTACTGCTACTAATAATAATAGTAGTAGTAGTGGTAGTAGTAGTAGTAGTAATATTAACATTAATAATATTGATGAAAGACAACAACATCCATGGTATCATGAACGTTATCATCATCATCATCATCACAATCATCATCAGCATCAACAACTTCAGTCACAAAATAATATTGTACATGATAACTGGTCGACTATAATACCGACATCAACAGCAACGGCTACTAACACAACGGAAGGAGGAGGTTCCGGGCCGCATGTAACGCATGCAGCTCAACCAATACAACAAGCTCATTCATTACTGCCACCACCACCGCCACCACCACCACCAGGTCATCAACAGCATCTACCGCCAATATCGTCATCGTCGTCTCACCCACCACCTCCGGGTTTGTCAAATCAATTAGGACCGCCAGGAGTAGCAACAACTGGACAGAATGGATTATCAAGTTCACATTTAGCACAAGGACAGTCGAGTCATATAGGTGGAAGCGCAGGTGCAATTACAGGTGGAAATTTGAATCAACAGTATCAACATCACTATCAAAGTCATCAACAACATCATAATGAAAATCAACAACAACACCACCATCATCAACACCATGAACAACAGGAGTATGAGCAACAACATCACCATCAATATCAATATCAACAACATCATCAACAGCATCACCATAATCAAGCTGCACAATTAACACAGTCTGGAGCACATACAATGTATTCTAATTATGGAGAAATGCCATCATATCAAGAATCTATCTCATATCAAGGGCAATCAAATCCACAGATGACTTCCTCGTGGGATCAAAATCAAATTTCCTATCATCAACATCAGCAGCATTCACAACACCAAAATTTGCATCCACAGCATCAAAATTTACAAAACCCACAACATCATCAACCAACACATCATCAATATCAACAACAGCCATCACATCAGCAACATCATCATCCACAACACTATCCCGAGCAACAAAACTATTATATGTATGGACATTATAATACTGGGCAATCTTCTGCTACCAACGCTACTAATACTTACACAAATAATGGATATAAGCATCAAATTAATAATAATAGCAGTAATGCTAATAGTAATACGAGTAGTGATAATATTAATAGCAGTAACAATATTAATAAGCACCACAACTTACAACCACATATGCAACCACATCTACAACAGCCACATCAAACTCACCCGTCACTCCATCCATCCATACAACCTCCACGCCCATCAAATCATCATCCATCATTAAATCCTTCGTCACATATTGAATTATCATCACAAACAAATAATTTCACAAATATTATACAAAAACCTACGGGAGGAGGATTATTATCATCTTCATCAACTTCACCGTCACTACTGCCATCAACTAACAATAATTTAATACAAAAATCACTTAATTCACAACATTATGTATCAACAATAATAAATCAACACCAACAACAAGCAGAAATAATAAAAACATCAGAAGAAATGAAATCGGCTAGCCCATTTGTAATTGAGTCACCATTACCAGCTAAACCGACGGAATTATATGAAAAATTAGGACAAGTCGGTGAAGGAACTTATGGGTTTGTTTTTTTATTTTTTTTTATTTATTTATTTAAAGAAATTTGATTAATAATTTTTTTCCTATAATTATAAATAGAAAAGTGTATAAGGCAAAGAATCGTGAAACTGGTGAAATAGTAGCACTTAAACGTATACGGATGAAATCAGAAAAAGAAGGAGTAAATATCAATTGAAAATTTTCATCCATCTATTATTATCGATGACGATGTTTGTATGATTTATAATTTATTAATTTTTTGGTAAAAATTAAAAATCATATAGTTTCCAATAACTGCATTACGTGAGGTTAAACTACTACAATCGTTAAACCATGGTCAAATTGTGAAATTAAATGAGATAATGGTTTTCAAAGGTAGGCATCAATCAACAATATTGAAATAATTAAAATCACTAATTTGCTATTACGAAAATCACGATATCATAAATTCATACATCCATGTGCACTTTTGCAATTATAGGAGTTGTTTATATGGTGTTTGAATACATGGATCATGATCTTACAGGAATACTTGGAAATGTACAAGTAAATTTTGAACATCAACATATAAAATGTTTGATGAAACAACTACTTGAAGGACTGGCATACCTTCATGAGAATGGAGTTTTGCATCGAGATATAAAAGGTAACTGAGCATATGATAATATTTACGCTTTTTTATAAAAAGAATACTATATATTCACAAAAAACAACTTCAATAAAAATACAAAAAAGGATCAAATATTTTATTGAATAATCGAGGTGAATTGAAATTGGCAGATTTTGGACTTGCCAGACAATTTCATCCGAAACGAATGCATGATTACACAAATCGCGTGATTACATTATGGTATCGACCGCCCGAGTTGTGTCTTGGAGCAACACAATATGGACCTGAAGTAGATTTATGGAGTGCAGGGTATGAAAATTTGGAATTGTGTAATTGTATATAATATATTTATTTATTTTATCTATCTCTATCTATATCTGTTTGTTTGTTTTATCTATTTATTTCTACTAATATATATATAGTTGTATAATGATGGAACTAATAACAAAAAAAGCAATATTTCCAGGAAATGATGAGATATCACAATTGGAATATATTTACAAATTGATGGGCACACCAACGGTTGATGATTGGCCATCACTGATTGATTTGCCGTGGCATGGTATTTTACAATTTTCAGATTATAAACCAATGTTCCGAGAAACATATGGAAAGTAAGTTAAAAACAAACTGATGATGATGATGATGGTGATGGTGATGAAAATAATAATAGTAATTTATTTTAATATAATTTTCCCGTTTAACAACAAATAACGAATGAAAAGTTATTTAACATCAGCAGCATTAGAACTTGTAGAAGTATTATTATCATTAAATCCAAGTAAAAGACCAACAGCAAGAAAAGCATTAGAATTTTCATATTTTACGGAGGAAGAACCATTTGCGTGTTCGCCTTCCGAGTAAGTAACAAATAACAATTATCATTGGAATAATTATCATATATTAACTATCGTAATTATCATTATCATACATTTTTTTATTGATTATTTATTTATAGATTACCGGAAATACATGGAGATTGGCATGAATATGAATCTAAAAATCGAAGGAAAAAAAATGTAGTTAATTCTTGTGTTGTGAATGGTGGTGACGGAGGTGGTGGTGGTGGTGGTGGTGGTGGTGGTGGTGATGGTGGTAGCGGTGATGGTGGACAAGATATATAGTTTTGTTAATCAAAAAAAAAAAACATTAATTTCCTTTTATTTTAATCAATTAATTATTAATATAAAAATAAATAATAGATAATATTATATATTAAGTGATATATTTTTGAATATAAACTCACATGATATTCATTTCTCAAAAAAATTTCATAAAAAGATAAGATAAAGTGGATTTGACTGTAACTATTTATTATATTATCTATTATATTATGAGTAATGATAGCATGTATATAGATAAAATAAACAATGAATGGGAATGATAACGATTTTCATAAATTTTGTTTTTTGATTTTAAATTTTTAGGTTTTTGAGTTAAAGTTTTGCGCTTAATTTATAATAGTAATAAATAAATAAATATAAAATTGTATGTATATATATATATATATATAAAATCAATTATTCTTTTTTTTTTTTTTAATACAACAAAACAACCAATCTAATCTATCTAATCAAATAATCAAATGTAAGTGAATTTCGCGTAACATAATGACTAACAAATTTCTATATTAGGAAATCAACTATATATGTTATATGTTCATGTAACGTCCACCGATATTTCATTGAAACTAGCTAATTCACTTTTGACCCATCGATCTAATCAAGCTAGTAAGTAAATTGGAAGTTATTTTCTTTATTTGGATAGAAATTAATCAACAAATTTTTCTTGGTTTTATTAAATTTTTAATTCGTTCCTGCTTGCTTGCTACTATTTTTTACCTTTCTCTCTTCTTGCAACTCCTGTTTTTATTTTACGCGCCCAATGTCTTTAACAAAGAAATCAACTAAATAAAAATTAAATTAAATTAATTAAATTAAATTAAATTAATTAAATTAAATTAAATTAAATAATAAAAATTAAATAATAAAAATTAAATTAAAATTAAATATTTTAACAATAGCAATAACAATAGTTCTTTATTTTATTTGTTGAATGTTTTTCTTTCTTTCTTATTTTATGCGTAATGGTTGATTATTATTGTTGTTGTTGTTGTTGTTGTTGTTGTTGTTATTGCTGCTGCTGCTGCTGCTGCTGTTGTTGTTGTTATACGGACATTTTGACATTGTTTTATAAAAATGTACATAAATACATTGAATGTTTAATTGGTAAGAAAACTTAAGATTGTCATTGGTGGCCCGGCCGTGTCATAAATTTAGCAACAAATGAACAGTAAATTTAAATGTGATTTTTGTTTATTTTGTTGAATCTTTAAATTTTTAAACTTTAAAATGATTTAAGCATATCACGTAAGCTAAAAATGATTATTATTCATTCCTCCAATGATAACAATAAGCACTAACCTGAAATTGCAAATAATTGACTAATTTCAATAGAAAAAAATAACCATAAAAGTATTTATTAACGTTGAAAATGAACACATCCAATCAATCCATTCATTAGTCGACTCTTTTTGATGAATGAGACAATGTGAATGCATCAAAACTCTAAAACTCTAAAACATGTGTGTCTTGCAACCTTTGTTTTTATTTGTTTTGGGATTTCCTAAAGTTTTCTATCGATCAATCAATCCAAAAGCGTAAGAAACAGTGGTTGGTTGGTAATAAAAAAAAGATTATTATTTATGGTTATTCTCTTAATATGCAGCAGCATTTTGTAAAAAAAAAAAAAAAAAAAAGGAGGAATATGTTTCGCAATAAAGTTAAAAAAAGAGAAATTATAATGCCTTTAATTCTCTTATATATAAATTCACACATGTTTGAATGAAAAACAAGATCTTCTTTATGGGATACAATATAAAATATGTATCGAGAACGGGTGAACCAGATTGAATGATTTGCCAAATTAGTTTTATTGGAAACCTTTTATCAATCTTTGTTCCGCTCATCAAAAAAGGTTATTTTGAAAAGAATAATCCATCGATTTTTATTTCAATAAACCACAAAACTTTAAATTGTATAAACTATCCAACAAACTACAAACTCTAAACTATATAAACCTTTGAAAATACAAATTTTCCCAGTAGTTAAATAACTATTATGTAGTGTAATGATTGAGTAGAACTGAAAGTTCTATTTTCAGTTAGATTTAATGATATTTCCATGTTTGGATAATTTAAAAGTTAATTGTTTAATTATTTATATTTATTTATATTTATATTTATTTATATTTATTTATATTAGGAAAAATGAATTCTATTATCACTCATTCATTCATTCATTGTTTTATTCTTTTTTTATCTCCCAAAAATAGTAGCAAATAAAAATTATTTTAAAAACAGCACCCAATAAATTTCAAGGGTTGATTTTTATGATGTGTTTTACAGCTTTAAATAATCTTCATTACAATTAGCTAATTCAAGATGTTGTTCGGATTAAAAAGTCACTTTGAATTAGAGGTCATTAAAAAGTTTAATAATTGTCTTCATAGTGAATTTACAAGTTCTACATGACTGATAGTTTTTTTTTACAGAGAGTGTGACAAAGCATATGAAAATATACACAATGAATGAGAAGAGAACATATATACACTATATCACGTGACAAAATCGGAAATTCTGTCAAATTTAAATTAAATTCATTTTTTTCATTTGTAAAATATTTTCATATGACTTTTGGCGCCAAATAAAATAATTCGCAAATCGCCGAAACCTTTTTCCTAATGCTAAATATTTAAATAATAAATGTATATAAAGGAAAAGAGTTGTATAGGTAACGATATTGGTTTTTTCCCATTAAATCAATCAATCAATTAATATGAGAGCCAACTTTAAATATTTCTATAGATAAACATTAGAGTTAATTTTAATTAATTAATTAAAACAAATAAACCTGGTGATGCAATTAAATGATAATAATAGCGATAAATTAATTCTAATAATAATAATAATTATTATTATTATTATTATTATTATTTATTGTTATTTAAAATATATATATAAAAAAAAAATTTAATTCATTAATTTAAACTCCCTTTTTTTTTCTTTTTTTTTTAATTAATTATTTTTAAAAAAAACAATGTTGAGAATTTTAAAAAGAAAATTTTTTTTCACCAATTAATTTTTTAAACACGGAAATTTTTATTTATTGCTATTTTTATATGAATAATAATAATAACTCCTTTGTATCAAAAATAAAATAAAAAATTTAAATTTCAATAAATAAATATTTAGTACTGTGTTACCCATTACGCGTTTTTGCTTAGCCGTCACATGTATGCTTCAATCATGTGTAAATGAGAGAGATGTGCGCGCGCGCTGTTGTAATTAATGTATTGCTTATATTTGCTTATGCTTGCACCATGATGGAATCTGATTAAAACATTCATTTACAATATTATGAATTTTCTTGCGGATACGTAGCTTGCATTGACGAAGCTTATATCTCTTACGCTTGTTTTATTTTACCGTGAATTGAATAATGATCAATCCCTTTTCGTAACCGCGGGATTGCCATGAATCCCGCGAGTATCCTTTGTTCAAAGTAGTCATTTACATTGCATAAAAATACGCTAGTAAGACAGACGTTGGATGGGTAGACTCGTCAAACAAAATCTGAGCCATCAAAGGCTGAGAAACACAAAAAGAGCTACTTTTTTTTTTTTAAATCTTTTTTTGTGTAATAAAAAAATTGTTATACAAATTTACTCTTTTTATTTACAATACACTTTGTACGACAGTGCGATATGTATTTGATTGATATTTAATATAAAAAACAATTACGTATTATAAACTTTTGTCTAATATGTACTCCCTATTTTTTTTTTTAAAGTTAAAAAAACTTTAAAAAAAACGCCTTCAAAATAAAACTAATCCACAAATTAACTAATATAACTTTATTTTTTTCTCTATTAACATATACAACACATACTTACACAACTAGCACACCTATGCACATATCATAAAAAAATAATTTAAAACTAATAAAAAAAAATAAACTTTATAAAAGAATTTGTGTTGTACATGAACATACGTAGCTCAACTTAAATAAACTTGATTTTAAAACTCAACAACTTAAAAAAAAATAATACTTATTTATCATTATTTATATATTATTTATTATCAAATTATATCATACAAAAAAAAAAAATAATAATAGTAATATAAATAAATACTTATATATATATATGTGTGTATATATATATATATATTCTTCTTTTTTACTTTTTATCCATTCTTAAAAAAAAAAATTTTTTTTACCACAAAAAAAAATACTGAAAATTTTTTTTTTTTTAAAAAAAAATTAATTAAAAAAACTTTTCTTCACTTTGGTCATTGACTGATCAAGTTTTTGGTGGAAAAGAATTTTTTATAATTAATTAAAAATTATTTTAATAAACAGCAAAAAACACCAACAATAAAATCAAATAGGAAAAAACCAAGAGTTTTTCTTTATAATACTAACTTACAATAGTATACCTTATATATAAATAATACAACACATAGAATATATATATAGAATTATAAATATAGAAGAAACAAACTTTAAAAAAAAAAAACATAAATTAAAACCTCGATTTTAAACTCACTTTAAATCACCTCGATTCAAAACTCCAATAATTACTTGATAATAATAATAATAATAATAATAATTTATCGGTAAGTGATATTAATATTCGTTTGTTTCGCTTGTTAAATTTTTTTAATATAAATATATACATATATATATATATATATATATATATATTATCAATTATCAAATATTTTAATCGTTTTTAGTCTACACTTTAATTAATTTCCTTAATATAGTAAAAAGTAATAAACGTAATTTTAAAAACATAATACCGATTAATTTTTTTTCTCCAATTTAAACTTTGCACTTATGTATTTACATTATTATTATTATTATTAATATAAATTAAATAGTCAGTAATCATAATTTATTTTATATTAAAGTTTAAACTTATTAATAATGACATATTTGTATTTATAATACTTATTTAGACTAATCCTTCTGTTTTCAATACACACATATTTATATATACATGTATTTATCATTACTTGTTGCATATATAATTTTACTTTTTTCATCATTATTTTTACTATTATTTATATCTTATTTAATTAACTTTACAAAAAAAATTTATAATTCTAACAAAAAATTTATCTTTCGTCTCTCTATTCTTATTTTAGATAAGCAAAAAAATTCACATTGACTCATTATCAACAACATCATCATATATTCTCATATTCATTATTCATATTCATAATCGTATCATATTCATATTTAAAAAATACAACCAATTTTTTCAAAATAGCATTAAAAAAAAATGGAAACTTATTTTGGCTACGTAAAATCACCTCAAGACGCCATTTTGCTTTTTGAAGCTTGTCGTGTTGGTTTTTTATCTCGTATACAACGAAGGTTAAGCGATAAGGAACGTTCTTCTATTCGTTCCGGTTCTGTATTCGTTTGGGATGAAAGAGAAGCTGGTATGAGACGTTGGACTGATGGTAAAAGTTGGTCTGCAAGTAGAGTCAGTGGTAGTTTCTTAACTTATAGAGAATTAGAATCAAAACGTAAATCTAGTTCTCGCGGTAATAATAATCCTCATGATTTATCAAGCGAAGATACTGATTCAAGCGAATCTTATCATTCCTCCTCGACCGCCAAAAAAGTAATATCAACTGAACAATGTCGATATAAACATGGTGGTTTGGTAAAACAATCTTTCAGTATCACAACCACCACACATCAAAAATTACATTTAATATGTTACTACACTAAAGCCGACGTTATTCAAGAAAAATTACCAATACCAATTCACGACGAAAAATTAAAAAGTATTGTCATACCAAAAGGAATGTATCCGGAAACTACAAATATTTTGGACAGTAACAATCTCAATAATAATAACGGCATCATGATAAATTCTGGAAACGTTGGCAACAATAATTCTAATAATTCTCCTCTTCATAATCATCATCATCATCAACAACATCACAATCATCATCATCATCATCATGTTTCACATTATTCTGGTAACAACGCCACTCCAACTACTCCAACCACTCCTCATCATCATTTACTACTTCATCACAATCATCACAACAATAACAACAACAACAATAATTCAAATAATAGTGAAAATAACGAGAACAGATCTCCAAGTCCTTATGCTTGGCAATATCAACAATTACATTCATCATCAAATAATACTCCTAACACCGCTTCTTCATATTCAAATCATCACAGTAATCACTTTCATCGTCCTTCAGTTGAACCAATGCAAATAGATTCTCATTCTGCTTGCTCCACTCCTTCTATATCATCATCCCCCTCAACCACCTCAGACGATTTTCCAAACTTTGCCACGATCGGCAATAATAACAACAATGGTAACAACGTTAGTGGTGGTAATGGCATAAATGGTGCTAGGTTTAACTTTTTCAATCATTCTGGAAGTAGCACTGCATCTTTACCATTATTATATCCATCATCAAACTACGCACAATCATCTGATAATAATGGTTATGGTAATGGATCAGAACCGATTAATATTCCAAATGCTTCATCAAGATCAAATTTCCCTAATCATTTACCTTTTCCAGCTTCATATCCACCACGATCTAGTGTTTTAAATAGTAACAACAACGGTCACAATGGTAATAGTGATAATAGCAATCTTCTTGATCAACAACAACAAAGTCATCTACCACCTCAAGATATCCCTTGGGAAAAAATTAGAAACAGTGAAGATCAGCGTCAGTTAAATGCAATTTATACAACTTTAAAGCTTTGAAAGAAGTATTTGACCGGATCAATTTACTTTTTTTTTTAATCTTTTGCAAACATCTTTTGTTTCTATTATTATAATTAATTATAATTATATTTCCCTCTTATTCTTTCTTCTAATTACAAATATATATAGTTTTTTTTTATTCTCTTTAGAATAAAAATAATAATATAAACACATCTTTAAATCATTTTCTTAGAATTATATACAAAAGATAAAATAATATATAATAGAAATACATATATAGATGTATTATTATTATTTTGAGAGATGATGTAATTTTGTAACAATTTCTTTTTTATTTTGCTTCTTTTAATATATATTTTTTTTTTATTTTGCTACAATAATAATAATAATAATAATTTTTTTATAAATTTGTGTGTTATATATATAAAAAAAGCTTTTAATAATTATTATTATTCATTTTTCGCAATATTATATATTATATATTTTATATATATATAATATATATATATATAAATGTACAGAATTATTATTTCATATAGACATAGAATTTTTTTTTTTTAGAATTATATAGCATATACACATAATACATATAAATATATATTTTATTATTATTATTATTATATATATATATATAGATTTTTATTATTATATTACATTTAGAATTTTTTTTTTTTCTTTATCTTTAATATTATAAATATTTGCATTTTTTTTTTAAATAATAATATTTCTTTTTTTTTCTTCCTTAACCCCCTCTCCATTAATTACATTAAAATCCATCTTCACATATTATTCTTTTTATTAATTATATTTTGCATATTTTCTAATAATATATATACTACCTATTTATTTTAGAATTTTATATAATATATAATAATTAATTTACATTTATACACGAAACAAATATAAATAAAAAAGAAAGACATATATATATATATATATATTAAAATATATAATGATATAAAAACTTGTTGTGCATATGTGTATCGTAGATTCGCCAAAATTTATATCAAAAAAAAAACACGCGTCTATAAAATCGCGTTTTTATTAAATATATGAAGGTAAACTTTTGCAATTTACTTTGACCCTTCCTTCATAATTTGAGTATTTGTTTATTTTCTATATCTTGATAAGATTTTCCATATATCAATTAACAAGTGCCAATGAATATGAATTATCAATTATTTCCCTGACTAGGAGGATCTTTTTGGTATTGAGAGTAAGTTTGTCATCCGTAATCAAATATAAAATGTTGTTCCACTTTAAAAACATTATTATTTGATACAGCCGGGCATCTTTACAAAACGACAAACATAGCTTACGCGTAGCTTGGTAATGCCCATTACCAAAATGGGTATCATATGTATGATATCATTATATTTTGGACCAGGTTTGTTTTTGTTACCAGTAGCAAAGTTCATCTTTAATCATTATAAGAAAAATATGAAAAAGAAATGGTTTTAAACTCGCGGGAAAAAGTAAGGATCGTGATCTACTTTTTATTTGAATGTAACAACATTACATATATATTTATAACAAATATTACAACATTGCGAATTAGTTTTACATCACGGGCGCCAACTTTAATTGAAAAAGTGTTGTTGACCAGTGTTAATGGTTTGTGTAGACGTATAAATTCTTGAGAAGGGTGGTAAAGTGGAATCAGAAGTTGAGAGCAATCTTGATACTCCAACAATAGAAATAGTCCAGGTAGTCTCATTTGAATGAACTCGACAGCACCGTGTACTTTGACACCAGTGATCTTGACATTGATAATTCTGGAGGATTGTGCAATCCTAGTTTGTCGGAAACACTATACACAAGTTTGTGAGGATTGGTAATTCAAACAATGCAATATCTTCCGTGCTGTTCCCTCATCTTACCACCGTGTCCTTTTATACAAGGATTAACACCTGTACCAGCTATACCAATTAACATGACTGCAGGATAAATGAATATATGATTTTGCAAAATAGGAAATTATTGACGCACCTTGTGCGTCCAAATTCATACATAGCTTGCCGACTATCATTATATTCATATAATTTTTGAATTTTCATACAAGAACCTTTTGAAATAGTCACATATTCCTATAAAGAATTTATATCAATTGAAGGTTGAATGGAGCTATTCTTCTTATCTTCATCACTCAGACGAAAATTTAATGCATCTCTTTCTATTTGATTGTTCTAAATCTTTAACCAAAAGAAATTATGTTCTGATTCTCTGCATAATTCTTTTTTTCCTTTCGACTTTCAAATCTGCTGCCAAGGGAAATTCATATGAAATGATCAACAAGCAAAATCCTTTTTTTTTTATTATTATACTTTTTTTTGCTTTTTATAAGAAAATAAAAACTTTACTTTGGGGAACACGTGAATTTTTTTTGTTGTGAAATTTCCCCAATTTTTTCTTTGTACTGTGAGTGGTTCAATTTCATGGCAAAATTTTTGTATTGTGGCCAATTTATGATTTTGTCCTTTTACAAATATTTAATTTTAATTTTCGGGTCGGTTACACTTTTTTTATTTTCATTCATAAATAATTGTTTGTTATAAAGTTATTCTAGTTTGATTGGTGTTATTGTCTATATAATCATTGCATATTTCCACCCCCGCAATTGCGGGGAACGGAAAATTGGGAGTTGTTGTGTATACATATGCATACTCCCTAACCCAAATATCCAACTAAGGGGCGAAGATGGAGCAGAAGTATGACACCAATGTGCTATATACGTAGGGTTGTATCCGTTGATTATTCGGATAATCAGCCAGTCAATAGAATTCAATACCCGATTAACCGGATAATCGGTCGGGCGATGAATTTCTGCGGCGTTTAAAAACGTTATTTCTGGTAAAGTTCTGCCTATTTTATTTGCAATTCTGCTTAATTCTGCCATAGATCTTATTTTATTTAATTAATAAAATAAAAAAAAACCTCCAATTAATTAAATAGAGTTATTATACATATTAAAAGTTTTTAAAGAAGTTTCTGAAAGATTTGTCTATTGCTATCTAAATATTGTTATATATTGAGAAACTTCTTTCTACACTGCAATTAGATATGGGAAACCATATGTATTTCAGAGCAATTTCAGAAAGAATTGGCAATTGATCTTGAATATTTATCAATATTCATTTAAATCTATTTCATCAATTAAATCATCCATTTGCATTCCACAATAAATTGCCCATTCATTTAGTAATTCATCAGAAGGATTTTCTAATTCTTTGATTGATCTATATTGACATAAGTTTTTTCTTTCCAAAGGTCCAAGTAAAATAAAAAGGGGACAAGCAGGATGTTGTTAAGAGCAGCTTCAAAAACTACATGAAAATTAAGGTAAAAATCACTTGGATTGAAATTATAGTTAAATCAATTTCGGATCAACTTGCGTGACATTCTGTTACAAAAATAAAAAGATATCCAGCACCTAACCAATTTTAGGTATAATTCTTCACATTTCTGCTTTTGCGATTTCTGCGGTTTTTTAGAAAATCATTCATATCCGCCGAATTTAAATAACAATAAATTTAATACAAAAAATATAACAGTTATTTATTCATCGAGAAAAAATATTTCAAGTATCACAATCCTTTCAAATAATAATGTATTCAATTTTGTTCGTTTGGCTGTCATTGTGTTTCCAGCTTGACTAAATAGACGCCCGCTCACTTTGATTAGAATTTGTTGCAATGCATAAATATTTTTTAGCAAATGATGACACACAGTTGGGTATTCATATCACTTGATATGTTAGTGATAATAATGGATAAATAGTATTTAAAAAAAATTTCATTCGATTACGCGGATAAAAATTTTCTATTTTTTTATATTTCTGTACTAGTACCATCAATTATTTACCAATTATCCAGTGAAATTTTTTTCAACGCCCGATTAACCGGGATAATCGGTGAATATTAATATCATTCGGCGGATACAACCACTATGTAGAGCCGTGGGAGCAAAACTGTGTGGCATGCTAACGCCACACACTGCCTATGCCTTCATATGTCATAATGGAAGGCTGTCACAGGAGAGGCGAAGTGGACATCATTAATCTTTTTTTTCACAGCTAAATATAAACCGATTTCTCTAAAATGTTTCATAGACATTCTTCAAGATCTGGTTGGAGGTAAACGGTAAAGAATAGTCGAGATAAAGTTGACAAATTAATAATTACTAAAACGCGCGGATTTCTTTAAGATTGATTCATATTGGTCCTCACAGATTGGTTGAAAGTTCCGATGAAAGACTATAATAATAATACTTTTTTAACCATATCGAATCAACCTTCAATTGATTAACGGAAAGGTATACGTTGTTGATATTAATATAGCCAGTCCAGAACGCATAGCTGTTGTTTCATTGTTTCAAAGCTTCTCTGAAATTTCCAACTGTGATGTAATCGTTGATCCTCCAATAATGGTTCTTGGATAACCATGTAAGAGATCTCCTTCGAGTAGTGTTTGTACTCGTGATTAATCATGAGTTATGTCGCACACATCTTTAGCTTGTAATAACATTTTGCGTTTCCCCATATATCATTATGGAGACGGGAAAAAATTGCATCAGACGTTACAATCAGCCCAGATGTGGCGTATGCCCCGAAACATACTCTTGCGCATCTGAACCTTCCACTAGCGACGTAAATGTATTTTGAGCTTATATATATGTTATCATGTCTATTTTGAGTTGCTTTTCTAATAATATCCCCATAGACGAATAATCTGCAAGGTAGCCTTAGCTCAAGACCTGTTTCATTGTTCTATAGTTCTGTCTTGAGAGATTTTTTTTTTTAATCTTATGCCAAGTTGTGGCGCCAAGGAGTACCTGTTCAAGAGGTAGGATTGATACATTGAGTATTTATTTCTTATGAGGCTTAAAATGTAACTTTCGCAATGTGATAGTGGGGCTTTGGAACTCTACAAAAAAAATATTAATACACTCTATGTGTCGCACTGCCACAAACCTTATTGCTTGCCAAGTTAATGGAAATTATGCAATAGTTTTAAATTATTTACCACCGAACGTTACTGGGTATATTGAAGTGGTCCCTCTTCCAATTGTCGCCAATAATTTTATTATCCAACAAATAGTTTTAAAAACACAAAAAGTGCAATTTACGACGTTTGTTAGCAATGTATGGCACATATATGGTGGCTTTTAATGATGGGAGTGTGGGGAACTTCCAACGTGTTATAATTATACGGTAAAGGAAGCATATAATAAAGATTCATCGGCAAACAGGCATTGAAATGGTTAATAATGGAGATAAAAAATAAAATAATTTTAATAAAAATCATGGATAAGAAATCCTGAAAGTGAAAGAATAATTATAATAAGAAATAAAAATTTTCAATATATAGGTACTTGTATAAATAAATTAATTGAATTTATTAATATATTTTTTTACAATTATATTATTATTAATAATAAAGAAAAAAAAGACGATTGTTGAGATTTCAATAGTAATGAAATCTATGGTATAATCGAACTCAAGATATTTGTCTACCAAACAAAATATTTTAGTTTAGGTTATTACTATTCGCATCCATTTCAAATGAAAAATGGTTAATTTATCATTTGTCCACTCCTAACATCAAATTAGCCATATTCTTGATGTAAATCTTTTGTTCTTAACTTCTCCCAAAGGTTTTGAATTTAGACTAAAAGAATTAAGAATGATGATGATGTTAACAAAATAAATTCCATCAATAAAAAAATAATGGTCATAATAATTATGATTATGATTACAATAATTACCTTTTGGAATATCAAGTACATATTGAGATTCTACATATCTTTGAGCACGTCCATCATCCTCAAACTCAAGTAAATAACAATTCTTTTTTGACGGTGTAATCTTACTAGGCGGAAGAACAACAGTTGCTTTGTAAAAGCATGTTGTTTCTGTGTATAATGCAAGAACAGGGTGATCTTTTGTAAATTCATTAGCTTTAACTTCTCCTTTATTTGCAATTGGAAGAACATGTTTTTTTGGTACATTAAAATGTCTAAAATATATATATATGTGTATATATATATATAATATGATAAAAATAAATTTGTATAATAAAAAGAATAAAATGAAAATGAAAAACGATTTATTACCTATTTGATGCCTCAAATTGGTCTGCATCTTCTACCTCATAACTTTAATAACGGATCAAAAAAATGAATGCGATATTGATAATAATAAAAATAATAAGAATAAAGAAAAGATAAAGAAGATACTTACAGTTTAACCTCAGGTTTATATCCAACTACAGTTGCCAAGATCCAGTTTTGTTCTGATGATTTGGTCACTGGCTGCTTGGCTGCAACCTAAATAGTGATTATTGTTGTTATCACCATTAAAATTTGTATAAGCATAATTAAATTTTTTATATAATCTCCTAATTAAATAAAATTTCTTACTATAGTCCCATTTTTAATGATGCTATTAGGTTTAGAATTTTTCCTATTGATTAATTATAAATGAAAGTTTGAAAAATACTATTGTAAATTAATCAGTTGATTGATTGATTTTGATATTTAATACTGACACTGGTTTCTTTAATTTTTTAGGTTGTGGAGATGACAAAGTTGCTATTTCTTGTTGTTCCTTTCTCTTTCTTTTCTGATTATTATTGTTATTGCTGTTACCGCTGCTGTTGTTGTTACTGCTGTTATTGCTGTCGTTGCTGTTGTTACTGCTATTGCTGCTGCTGTTGTTGCTACTACTGTTAATATTATTATTGTTGTTGTTATTGTTATCATAATCATCATCATCATTATCATCATCTTCATCATCATCATCATCATCTTCTTCTTCTTCTTTTATAATTAAGTTACCTATAATTAATGAATATGGGTGGGTGAATATGAATGAAATAACAAAATTCATTTTATAGTAAAAAAGTAATTAACAAATTTTACCTGTTGCTCGGTCATATTCATTGTCATGATGAGGCTTCATTAATAACAGTTTATCACAGTCACTTAGGATTATCTTAGTGATTCTTTCGAGATTTATATATATATTTTATTTAATCATGATAATAAAGATAAAAATTAAAATTAAAAATAAATAAAAAATTAATGTTTACTCTTCTTCGCAAACTGTCTGGTCTATCATGTCAGCATATAATGATTTAAGAGCTTCTTTAATTTTTGGTGCGATTATACCTGCTAAAATAATTTATTAAATAATAAGTCAGCGCGCGTGAACGTTAATAAAAAAGATCTAAATTCAAATTATTTACTTTGTTGGATTTTTTCGTGGTAAGCATTAATTTGATTGTTAAGTTCTATCCCTCTTTCTTCTATCCTTTCATACAATTTAATGTAATCATTAATTTGATTTATTAAATAATCTTCTTCTTTAGTATTTGAAGAATTTGAATAAGGTTGAATAACACCTTTTACAAAATCCATTGTGTTAAAAAAAAAATTGTGCGATTTTTTATTATTGTATTTTATCACGGTTTGTACAACAATATCTTGTAATTCATTTACATAATTATATTATAATGTGTGTGCACGTATTAACTATTTTAAAATGTTATTTCAACTAATCTCTTTCTTTTTCTTTTTCTTTTTCTTTTTCTTTTTCTTTTTCTTTCTTTTCTTTCTTTTCTTTCTTTAAACGTTTCTTTTGTTTCTTTTCTTTCTTTTTTTCTTTCTTTAATTTTTCAATAAAATAGTCTTTCATTGGATCATCAAGATCAAATTCATTTTTGGAATCCTCTGAATCTGATGATTCATCAACTTTTTAAAATAATTTTTACAACATATATATATTAGTTTATTGAGGAAATTCATTAAGGATATTGTTAAAAGAAAAAGTATAATGATAATAAATAATAATAATAATAACAATAATAACCTTCAATAAGTGGTGGTGCTGCATTCATCCCTGTTCTACGTGTGCCATCTTTCATTTCAGCACTTGCATGATCAACCCTTATAGTTCGACCACCAATCTAATACAATGTAACATTTATTATTCACATATAATTTCTTTATATTATATAATATAATATATATAATACATAATATACCTTGGCATTATTTAAATTATCGACTGCAAGTATTGTACTTCTTTGATCTTCATATTTCAAAAATCCAAATCCTTTAGATTCTCCAGTTTTTTTATCACGAATCAAGTCAATATTAAAGATCTCTCCAAATCTTATTTATTATTATATTTTTTTTGCACAAAAATAAATATTCTTTTAACTTTTTCTCAAATGTGAATGAATTCCAAAATTTTTTAAAGTAAATAACTTACTGTGAGAATATACATATTATATCACCTTCTGTTAATTCAAATGGCATATTGCCAAAAAATATATAATGTGAATCTTTATATTGTGCATGCCATGATGCTGATCCTGAAATATTACGTTCTATCTCTCTATTATTGATGCGGTCTATTTCTCTTGTCACACTTTTTTAAATAATTTATTAATGATTAAATCTATATATTTATTATATTTATTATATTTTAGTAATTTGATAAAAAAACTTACTTCATTTTTTAAAAAAGGAAATGCAGATCGCAAGCTCTTTTAAGATTTCGGTCTTTATATGGCAAGATCTTCGTGGATTATTAAATTCCCTTTATTAGTAAGATCCTCATGGTTTCCATTTTAGTCCACATGTTTAAGTATATATATAGGACCTCGGACAATCATATTTGAACTGGTATGTAAGAAAACATAAAAAGTTGTGAAAATACTCAGAATATCTTACTAAAACTGGCTAGTGAGTTTCATTTTTGGGCCCTTTTTTTTTAAAAACCCAATTTTTATTATGTAAATGCTTGAAGATCTGACTGGTGTTTTAACAAGATCACTACCCATTTTTCTCAATACCAGTTCAATTATAATTATCCGAGGTCCTGTTTAAGTCATAAAACATTGTTGATCAATCAAATTGTGCTAATCATCAAATTTTACACAAAATTTTGAACTGCTAGTTTAGATGACCAAAATGATCAAATGGATCTATCCACCAGGGAAACAATGGACCACATCAAAATTCTTTTATTCATGTTCAAATTATCCTTCCAAGTCATTAACTTATTTTCAATGGAAAAGCTTATATTTTGAATAGCAACAATGTGTGTGGGATCTTGTTTGATTAAATGTGACAGGTCTATCATGATGGTTATTTAATAAACTTGATGGAATTGATTCATAAACTCAATTCTTTGACAATACATTTCTAAATGATTAGGATCACCAAACTGTGTGTTCCAATTAACAGACACAAATTCAAAAACTTTTCAAAGCATTCATTTTTGGTTTAGTAGATTAAACTTATTTTAATAAGGACAAGAGATATATATCAATATTTTTATTGATGATATCTCTATTCAATATTACGTAATTAATAAAAAACTCTGTTTCATTACCCATGGATATCCAATTAATCCACAGGAAATTTTTTTGATGTGAATTTATGTAATCCCAAATGCACAGAATTTGGGGCAGCCTGTCAAAGAATTCCCAAATCTCAAACTACTTTGTACACCCAGTCCAAACTGGTTTGCTTCTCACTATTTTATCATAAATCAATTATTTTAACCTGAATAACTTAAAACCAGTTTTGTTTATTTTTGGCTATTATTAAAAATAGTTTGGGCAATTATGGCTACTAAGAGAGGTAGTTTTGACCAGAAACAACCTCTTTGGAATACTCTTACCACAAGATAACCACATTTCTACCCAATCAAAATAAAGAAAGTGTCGATTTAAACCTTGAAGTATTGAATTTTTTATAGGGCAGATATGGTTAGTTGTAAGTGCTATGGACAGAATTATTCCAGGCAGGCCTCATATCATAACACATACTGGTCTTATACATCCCAACTGCAGTACTATGTTACTTCACCAATTTCAAATGAATGGAGTTTGTTTACTTGATCTAACTTGGATTTGTAGATTCCAACTAAGCAAAAATTTAAGTTCACATCTTTAGAAGAAAAGGCAAATGTGTGTTTATATATTTCATGATAAGACCAATTACCATATGGATTGAGGGTATTTACATTTATTTTTTTGTTTCATTTGAGATTAAGTCTTTTGCTTGTAATATGAAAAAATTGTATTTATTTTTCTTAATATTTCTATGCCAAGTAAAAAAAAATTTTTGAAAAAAGTTTCATTGTTACTATATATGAAATTGTTTGCACATCACTGATTCAAATCATGAGATAATTAAACTCTTTTGTACAAGAATACAAACGTGTTCGTTTCATTGGCTTTTAGACCAGACTGCAAGCTGGAATACGAAAAGAACTTATTTTCCAAAAATGTTTCAAAGATGTAAGATACTCTATTCCTCAAATTGTGGATTGCAGAGTTTGTCCATTGGTGTAGCGGTTTAACCATATTTAGTATTTTATTAATGGAACCATACCAAACCTCATTGGTCTCAATGAGCCCAATCTATTGTCAACCCTGGCGTATTCTCGTTAATTGGGATCAGGAATTAATCACAGATAATAAATAATGTAGTAATGCCAGATTTATTATCTGTTATAAATAATTATTGTAAAAAATTAACTATATCGACTTTATGAGTAAGTTTGGTAAAAACGAGAATTGTGGAATCGTTCATTTATAGTATTACTATTGGTTAGTCATCCAGTCCAATTAGAAGTCGTACATATCTTGGGTTTAACACCAACCAACGTCTATCTCTTTTAGTTGAAATAATTTTACAAAGTAAAATTTAAAATTCCCCATTATTGTTGTTATTGATACGGCAAATCGTGTGATCATTCATATTTTACGTAAACCTAATATTGTATATCAATTAAATCATCCCGTTTATATGTATTTTAAAACTCAAGACAAGAGCCATCTATCATTTTATAGAAATTATCTTTGTTTGGTTAGACCCTGAAAGCTTTTGAAAATGTCCCTCAAAATTTGATGAGTAGCTATAATAAATTTAGGTTCGTCTGCCGCCTTAAAGATTGTTTGGAAAAAATTTAAATATTGGTAAGCTCCTTTGGTATACATGTCATGAAAAATTATTAGATTTCCTGAAAAAAAAATGGAAAGACAAATTTAATGGTAGTGTATTCGACAAAGTAGTTTTGCAATCAGAAAAAATTTTACTTTATTAAATAATTAAATATTTCTTTAATTAGAAAAAAATTCTGATCACACAATCGTCCTAATCATAATTTTTAAAAAAACCTTCGTGTATATATATTATAATAATTAAGGTAAAAAAAAAACTAAAATTTAAAAATTCTTTCATTTTCCCTTGGTTATATTGAATATGTAATTGTTGCCCTAATAGTTCTTCGTGCTTATTTTATATTATCATCATCAGAATTTGCATTTTGTAGATTATCAATTATGTCAAAGTATTCAAAATTATCTTGTGAATTATCAATTATTTGATCGTTTGAAATTTCTAGTTTCTTTCCTTGTGGCATAAATGAGGTAGTTTGGTTTTCATTTTTCTTTGATCTATTTTTAAAAAAACCCAATATACTAGTTTTTTTTGAACCTTCATCTGTTTCATCAGGGTGTTTCATGGATGGTTCTCTTTTCTTTCTTCGAGATGGTAGTGGTGGTGCAATACATCGAGGGAAAACTTTTGCACGCATAAACACTTTAGCCTTACTAAGGTCACCATTCAATTCCATTCCAATCAAAGGAAAATAACAAAGATCCACTACATAATTATCCAAACAATCATCATCCCATTGTCCTTTCATAAACTGTGTATCTATTTTCACATTATTTTCATACCAATGTACTTCATATTTTGGTTCTTGGACTAATAAACGAAATTTAAATATTCTGATGATATCCTTGATAAGGTTTTCTGTCATATTTTCTACATTCTTTCTTTTAGTATCATCTTCAATACAACGATATCCTGTCATTAATTTATTGAGTTCTAGCACTGTGGATGATATGAATGGATGCACATATTGGTTTTTTCTATCAGAAAAACCAAATTCACCTAACATACCATATACTTGTTGACGTATTTTTATTGGAATAGCTTTAATTGCATTATCATTATCTTGTTTAAAATGACTACTATAAAATTTGTTTAAAAGATCTATTAGTTTATTTGTATGATACATAATATATTTTTCCTGATTATTGGTACTATTTGGATCATCATCTTTTTTAATCTCAAAATAATCATTTACAAATTCAAGGATCTTTTTTAAAACATAACGTTGTAAAACTGACTTCATCAAAATTTTATCATTTATATTTTGAACATCTAAATTATATTTTTTATATAATTCTTGAATTTTATTGTTATCAATTTTTATAAAAGAACCCTTTAATATAGTAACATATCTCTCAAGTTTATCCTGTAAAGAATCTATATCTATTATAAGCTGATCATTAGCCTCATCACTCAAACAGAAACTTAATGCATCACCTAAAGCTGATTGATTCGACAAGGCTTCTTTTCTTAAATTTTCATTTGTAGCTACTAATTCTTTATTTGATTTTTCTAAATTCTTTATCAAAAGGATGTTGTTTTGATTATATGTCTCAAGGTTGACAATTTCATTTTTGTAATTTGGTTCAATTACTTGTTGATATCTAATAAATTCATCTTTGTAATAATTTTTTTCTTGAATTAATTTTTCATATGCTGGCACAGATAAACTTTCAATAGTTTCTTTGTATTTTGGTTCCATTTCTTGCTGATATTTATCCAATTCACGAGATAAACTTTCAATAGTTTCTTTGTATTTTGGTTCAATTTCTTGTTGATATTTAACTAATTCATTAAAGTAAAATTTATTTTTCTCCTTTAATTTTATAATTTTCTCATCATAAACCAACTTATAATTTTCCTTTTCTGCTTCCAAATATGCAATTTGTTCATTATACTGTGTTTCTAAATTTTTAAAGAAAAATTCTTTATTCTTTGATCCATGATTTTCTTTGGTTAATTTTTGATTTTCTAGAGTCAACTTGTTATTCTCATCTTCTAAAATTTTAATTCGTTGAACAATTTTTTTTTGATTTATTTCTAAATTAATACTTAGTATTTGCTCTTCTATTAATTTTCTAAAGTCATCACGTTTTTCATTTTCTTCTAACAATTTAATATACTTCTGATGATAGTTGATATTTTCGGAATATTCATAATCAGGATTTTTTGGCACAGTTCCGAGATGGGGAGAATTTTGTTTTGAATGAAATTATGGGAATTTTGATTCAATAAAAAATTTTGATATACATACATACACCTTTTTTAGGGTATCTATCTATTTCTCTATTATTTATGTGCGAAGATTATAAAATTCTTACCATTTAAAATTTGCGAGATCTGATTATTTTCACTGTTATTGGTATTATGGTCCATTTTTCATATTACGGTTTTATAATATAAAGGAAAGAATGTAACGTTTTCATTGTCTATTTGCTATTACTATATATAATTAAAAAATATGTACGAAATTCCTTTTAATTGGCTAATTTCATTTTCACGACACAAATAGTAATATAAACAAGAAAATGAAAAAAAATTATTTTGTACACGATGATTTATTAAAAATCCTTTAAAGAATAACTCGGGCTCCTCCATTCTTAACTTCATTTGTCTGATATTTTAGTGAATTTTCAGAATGTTAATCCTTATCTATGAGTGTCAAGTTTAGAGGTAACGGTGAAAGGTTAATTTCGCGGAGGATTTTATATTAATATGTTATGTTTGGTTTACTAGGAACAGACTTTTTCTTTTTCTTTGTAACTCATGTATTTTCCTTACAACTATGGCATTACAATCAAGGATAATCTTTTGGATGAAAACAAAACTCGTCTAATTAAACAAATATTTATAATCATCTACCAATGTACCTTATTCTTTTGAGTCAATAATCGAAATTTCAATTACAATGTAGTTTTGTTACATCAGCGTTGGCATTTGGTCATGAAAATTTTGTTGGCCAAACGGCCAAAAAATTGTTTGGTCGCGACCAAATACCAACTATGTGTTGATCAATTTTAACTCATTGAATTGACCGTTTCTCTTGTTTTTAATTACATGAAGGATTAGATATAACTTCACAGATGATTCTTTGTGTTTGCTTTATTATACTTAATTAATTAATTATATATATTTAAAAACAATAAAGGCCTTTTTAAATTTATAGGCAAGTAGTAGGTATAGAAAAAATTTACCATTTAAATACAAAGTATCATTAGGTGAGAACCACATCATCTCTAAATCCTCTAATACAAAAGACTGCAAAAAATCACCAGATTAACTCCAGAACAGCTGCAAACGAGAATATTTTTTGATGCCTACCAAACGACGTTTATTCTACCTACTGAGGTGGTTGGTTGATGTTGTAAACTTTTTTGTTGTCTACTTGAGTCAGTTTTTGTCAAAAAAAAATTTAGTTCAGATTTCAAACCTACTAGAATCATTAATGTGTCTTTTAGATAATTTAGTATCTGCTGCTTTAGACATCTACAGCATGATCTTTTACTCAGGATCTTGTGATCAAGGATGTAGATACATTTGCCTTAAAAAAATAGCCTGATGTTATTATTATTCATTGGAAGAACAATAATATGTTGATAGCAGAATTAGATAGAGAAAGGTCTACTCACATCATTCTTTTGAATGACAGGCCTTTGTACCATATGTATATATAGTATAATTGAAATGGGAAGAACACCAAAAGTACAAACAATAATGTAAGCTCTCTGAAAGAGATTAGACACCGATTAATATTATAAATATTGATAAAGTATATTTCCAATGCAAAATAAACCTAAAAATTTTTAGATTCTCTTCTCATTAAAAATGGTAGTTTCTCCTGAGGCTTTGAGTGAGGTGCATGATGGTTGATCACTTAACAGCACTATGTACTTTTGACATTGATAATTCTACAAGGTCGTGCAAGTCTAGTTAATCTGTGGAAACACCATACACAAGTCTGTGAGTAACAATATTCATAGTCATTACAATTGTACAATATCTTCTAATGCTTCTCCCTCGCCTCTCCAAGAATGACTTTTTATACAAGAATTAACTCCTGTACTACTAGTTGTTCCAGTTAGCATAACTGACAGAATAAATGAATGTGATTTTAGACATTCGAAGGGATGAAGATTAGGGAGAGCAAGAGATGTGATTTAAATGAAGAATTCAAGTGTCATCATGAAATAGACAAGAAATACTATTTCATTTTTCATTGTTATTTTTCTGGTTTAATAGAACTAATTAAATTAAAAGAAACATCATTATTTTTTTTCATTCATCATAATAAAAAAATTTCTAATTATAATATATGAAATAAATAATATTTAGAGTCCACTTTAAATGAAACACTAAAAAGAGGATTATGATGATGAATGACACTGTTAAAATGCATAAAACAACAAGCTATTTAAGAAAAAACTTTATAAAAAAAGTGTTATAGTAAATAAATTATTTGTTAAACCAAAAAATTCTTTTTAAAAGGAATAATTTATTGAGTGAGGAACAAAAAGAAAGTTCAAGAGTCGACTGATTTGAATAGTGAACTTTTTAAATATCAGAATATCATGATCTTATAGACAATTATATTGAGGTAAACAAAGAAATCAAGAAAATGGATGATGATGTCAAGAGATTAAAACAGTAATTATATTATATATATTGAAATAATTATTAATCTAATTAATAATAATGAGATCTAACTTTATTTTCAGAATTTAGAAAATTTTGAAAACCATATCTTTACAAATATTATATTTTTAATGGATTGTAACTTTTTATAATAAATTATTAATTTAAATATTGTTCCATCAATTAACTCATCAACATTTCATTCCATGTCAATATCAAATACTCCATGGTCATGATCATCTTTATATCCTATATGTAAAAAATTATATTTATCGATTAATATACTATTATTAATATTAATTACATCGACACTGATTAATATTTACCTTGTGTATTATTATTACTTGAATCTTCATCACCACTTTCACCCCCGCTACTAATATTGCCACTTTGATTAGAATCAACTAAAGTGTTTTTAGAACCGGGATAATTAGGATTTGGGGGTGCCAAATGGCCAGCAATTTGATTCAATTTTTTGTCATCATTGATGTCCTTTTTTTCAGAGGATCCTTGTTCAGTTGTTTGATGCGGAATAGTAACACCAGGAATGTATGGTAATTTTGTTGGTGGTGTTTTTGCAAGTGGTGAATTTGCTAGATTAAGTAAAGTATTACGATCATAAATTATCCTTGTTCCTAAAAATCGAAAAAGATCAAATCATTATTATGTAACCATACTATATATGTATGTATGTATGATAGTACATATATATATAGTGTAACTTTTAATACTAACTAACCTCCAGGTGTACTAGAATAGATTGTTCCTGAAGGTGTCCTACTATAATTTTCTGGTATGGATGTACCAGGCTCTGCCTTTTTTATGATTGGAATCTCTTTAGAGGTAATTTGTTGTGAAGACATTTTAAAATATTATTATTTACTTTGAGGAAGATGAGAAGAAGGAATGAATAAAATTAAAAGTGAATAAATAATAAGAAATAAATTAAGGGTATTTATGTGAAATGCAAGTAGTAATTAATTAATATATAAATGAAATAATATATAAATGAATAATATAAAATAATATATAAATGAAAATATAAATGAATAAATGAAAATAAAAGTTTTCAGAGAAGACCAAACAAAGACAATGAATGGTATCAATCCAGAATTGGTTCATTGGACTCTTCTTTTTTTGCATGATCTACAATAGTGTTGTCACCGGACACAGACGCGGACGTGTCCGTCCATCACTTTTAATGACCGGGATAAAAATATTTGATTACACCGGCCAATAAAATTAAATAATTAGTATAAAGACTAATTATTAATAATATTAATATTAATAATTACAGTGGTATGAAGACTAATTTATGATTAATTTATTTTATGTCAATATATTTTTATCACACATCAAAAGATAAGATGTTGAACTGAAGAGTAAACTCTCGGTTCTTTTATATATATAATTAAAAATGTTTGCTTATTCTTATTAAAATGATTGAATTGATTGCTATTTTTAAAAAATATTTAATTAATTAATATTTTACTAGCTGATTATTTTATTGACAGCCAAATGCCAACTATGGCGTGAATAACGTTATCCGCTCAATATAACAATAAGGCTGACAACGTGACAACACTGATCTACAAATAAATACCAATATGTATTAATTGCGTGCGTGTCACACGAGACCACTCTTTCTATACTCAAAATTTGTTAATTATTTATTGTGTAAAATAAAAACAACACAACAACAACCACAACAATAATAAAGATGTCAGATCAATTAAAAGAATTTGTTGAGATGCCGAAACAATTTATCAAAGAAGGTACACAGTTTGTAAATCGATGTACTAAACCTGATCGTAAAGGTAATTTAGTATTTAGTTATTAATATGAATGATATATTTTAAAAGCAATTAATGATAATGATAATTGTTATATAAAGAATTCATAAAGATTTCACAAGCAGTTGCAATGGGATTTTTTGTAATGGGATTTATTGGATTTTTCGTGAAATTAGTTCATATTCCAATTAATAATATTCTTGTGTATGTAGTATTATCATCTTATAATAAATTAATTATATTAATGAATATTTAAATATATAATATTAAATTTTCTCCTTTTTTTTCTTCAAATAGTGGCGGGGCATAAAGAAGAAAATAGAATTTAATAATAATAATAATTTTTTTATTCTTCAAAATAAATTTATCAAAATAAATTAAATTAATTGTGAAGTATAAATGTAATCTTATTAATATTAAAAAAATAAAAAATAAAAAATAAAATGTTTTCATTATTTAATAATATCATCACCTCTAATACTATTAATGATATCGTTGGTCATCCTATTAATATTATTCTTCTCAGACAATCTTTCTTCTTGGTTCTTTAATTACCTTTTCTTTTTTTACAAAACTAAATGTTTTTACATTATTCTTGTATGGTCCACCCAATTAATTAACCACTCTTCTATTAAACCATCCTCCCAATCAACATCCATTCAACAATTATCCAATAGCACACAATCAATCAATCAATCAATCAATCAATCAATCAATCAATCAATCAATCAATTTTCACCTCTCATTCTGAACTGCTCGCCAGTCTCATCCTTTAACAATTTATTACTATCATCATCTCCTTCAATAACCAATTTTTCTCCACTATAAAGACTACTTAGATAGCTTTGTCGTTTTAATGCTGCCAAATCATTCTCTGATTTCTTTATAAACTCCAAAATCTTATGTGGACTAGTTTCAAATTTATTTTTGTGAAAACTATCTCTAGTATGTCGATAAAAATAATCTCGAAAATTATAACTTGAAAAATTTTTACTAGCTTTAAGTAGTGATCTATACAGATGTAAAATTTGTGTTTTACTTATACTGTTTGTTGCCATCGCCGTTAATACTATATTTTATTTATAATTAAATTATTATTCCTATTCCTATTATTATTAAATATTTTTTATCATTAGGAAAAAATTTGAAATTAGATTTTAAATTTTTTAAGGTTTGGAAAATCTTATTTTTGATCGATCAGATTATAAAAATCAATTTAATAAAAAAATCACGTATTTATCATTTTTCTATTTCATTTTCCAATTTTCAAATAATTGAAAATTACAATCCAGTCAGTCAAAGAAATTTCTTGGAAGTTTAGATATTTAAAGACGTGACAGTTGAGACTTGTACACAAAGTTTTAAAACTCATTATCATGATAAGCAACGTTTAGCATTCTCTCAACAAGAATATAAAGATAAAACTTTAAAAGAGTATGATATTAAAGAGGGTGAAACCATTTTATTTGAAGGTTTGGGTGAGAGCTTAATATTAATTGTTTGATGTGACATCTCTTTTTTAATATTATTAATAAAGGATCTCAAATTAGTACCCATTAATCTTACATCCAATATTTAGTAAGTATCTATTTTTTATTTCTATATATACCAATAATGTAGACCTTAAAAATATTTTTATCTATAATTGTAGGATTGTTTATTATATGGTAAAGAGAATTGGGCCTTAGAATGTCGATTCTGAAGGTGATGAAACTTTGACTTGACCTTATATTTTACTTTGCCTTGAAAATTTTCAAGACCGTATGTAAATTCACTTGAATGAATTTATGTAGATTTTCAAAAAAAATAAAAATAGAAAAGCACTAATTCTTTTTTTTACTGACAGAGAAAATAAATCGAGAAACCAGTTAACAATAACAACAACAATAATAATATTTGGTTTTATTATTACTACTATTAATATACTAATCTCTGTAACAATTCCAGCAGCAATGGTTTTTCCACCTCTTCTTATCATTATTCTTCCAAGTTCTTTATTGTCTTTAAATGTGTATTTCAACAATAGCAGCTGTTGATTTTGGAATATGTCTTTATTTTAAAAACAATAAATAATTCCGATTATCACTATTAGTATTATTATTATTTTATTTTATTTACTTTGAACTTTTTTTTGATTTGCTCTCCAGTTGCCTTGTCAACGATTGATTTAAGTTTTGTTATAATAGCTGGCTCATTTAAACTTTGTCAATGAAGAATTACCTTGTTACATTATGGAAACAAAAATAATGAAAGAATGAAACCATGCAAGTAAAACATTAAATGGTAACTTACATTATAACCTCTAGTAATGGGATTTTATTTCAAATACAACAATTCTTGTCAAAAGCTGTGATGATAAGGAACAGAATCCGGTATTGGGCACAGTATTGAACCTACTCTATTTATAATTAAACAAAAAAATATAAGTTTTAATTTCACGCTATTATCTAACATATATACATAACATACATACTTAAATTGAATCATGTTTATTCCTGCCAAAGAAATTAAACAGAATCACCGGAAATTGCCCATTTGAGTGATTCATTCATAAAAAAAAAATTATAAATTTATTATTAAATTAATTAATATATTGTTCTATTTATTTATTACCTTTTACTGTTGCACATCCTTTTCCAGGAATAACAATTAATTCGTCGCCAGTTTATAAACTACCAGTTTCTATTCTTCTTGCTACTATAATGCCGCTTAAACTTCCAGGACTACCTTTGAAAAAAATCTGTTATGAAAAGACGAAAGTCTTATTGGTGGTTCAAACTTGTCTATAATTAAAGAAAAAAAACCAAAAAGGTTTTTAGCAAGAAAAGATATTCTGTGCAATAATTAGAATAATTGCAGTAATTTAATTAATGGGTTGATTAATCAATTGAATTGTTGATTTATAAATTATTTAGTAGAAACTAAATACATAATTAATTACATTATCTAATTTATTAATTGCTAAACTAATTGTTGTACCCCTAAACTTCTAGCGTGGAAATGCATGTCTCTTTGGCATCAAACCCTGCTTCAAATTCACCTACTGTAGCATCTATTACAAGTATTGCTGCATCTGCCTGATAATAATTATTATTACAAATTAATTAAATCTAACGGAAAAAATTGAACGTTTGGAATAATTATAATACCAGTACTACCCCAGAAATCATATTAAGCAAAAGATGATTTTCCCATCTTTGATGATTCTCTTTCATATTTTTTTCATTATTTTATCACTTACTTCACCAAGAAGATAAAGTAAATGACTCATCAACATGATCTAAAGAAATATATATATAAAATAAATATTAACACAAATATAAAGAATTAGTAAATCGAAATGTTGTTAAGGAAACTTATCAATAATAACAATAACTAAATTTAAAATTTCTTTTTCAGCATTACGTTTATCGCATTCTTCGATAATGTCTATGCGCTTATTACTACCCTTCTATGTTGGTGTTTTCGTAGATGTTTTAGGCATGATTTGTGTAGTTGTAGTTTGTCCAACATTTAATTTTTGTGATATCAACTAAATTTGAATTTTGATTCGATGATGATTCATCTTCAGTAATATTGCTGCTATGTTAAGGTTAACTGAATCCATATCAGCTATTAAAAAACTTCATCATTCATAATTTTTCAATATCGCAGTTTTTCCATCATCGTTTAACATTATAAAATGTCGATCGCATGTGATACCGACAAAAAATTTTTTAAAAATATCAATATATTAATATTAATATCTTCCTTTATTTAAATCACCTTAAAAAAATGTTACAGATATATTTGTTTATTGATTTATCAAGTTTATTTTGAATTGTTTATTAAATCATACTTTATCAATGATTATAATTAATAATTAATGATAGAGGTTTTGTTGTTCACCAGATGGCTTTTTTAACTCCAGGGAGTTCACCATTTAAAGCTTTTAGTCTAAATTGATAACGACAAAGTCTAGAGTCACGGAAGACAGCACGTCCACGACCTGTTTCTGTACATCTGTTTTTAATGGTTGTTGAACGTGTTTCTCGTGGTAAATCATTCAACTCCAGTTGTGCTTGTATTCGGGCTCTCATTGGAATTGTTTCATTTCTTATTATATAACGATAAGCTTGTCGTAATACTTCATACATTGCTACAGCTTTCCGAGTTTTAATGTCTCGTCGAACTCGAGACCTTTTAAGAACATTAAAAAAATTCATTGCCTTTTAATTATTATCAAAAAAATTTTTTTAAATAAAATCAACCAATCAATAGCATAGTGGAAATTTGAAATGTTGCACTAATTTTTTATATTGTGCAACGTAGCTTTACAATACACGGCAAACATTC